TGTGCAGAGATTAGCTTCTGTTAATATTTTCGAGCTTTCAAATCTCTTTTGGATTTGCATATCAAGTATCTGATTTTATCTGAGATCGCATTAGCTGACTCTGATGAGAAAATATGTTTGTTAAGTCTCGGCAAGATTTAAATATGTTCAACTTTTTAGTATATGTAGTAAATATTGTCAGATCTTTTAAATCGATAAAATAATATTTGAAAATAGGAATATATCAGAAAATTGTGTAAGCTGTCAGATTAAATAGGAAAATAAAAATAAATCTCATATTTAATTATATCCTAAATATGCCCTATTTTCTGAAGTATTTCTCTGGTATTTATTTTCATTTGAATTTTGCTTTCTACTAAAATGAAACTTTTCACCAGTTTCCTTGGCAATTTTCGGCAGTTGCCAAGCGAGAACCTCGGCCGGCTTAGATGTTGCCCGGGATCGCAATCTGCTCGCTGCCGATCTGTACAATGCAGTGGGTGCGGAGCGACTCAATGAGAATGTTGTGATTGGCACCGCCGCCATACAGACCTCGATGGCGCTGGCCTTCTTCGGGGCCAAGGGCCAGACAGCCATAGAGCTGAAGGAGGGCATGCGCTTGGGCACTGGCGATGCGGATCAGGTGTCGCAGCGCCATAGCAGCTTCCAGCAGGCGCTGACGCGCGACAACAATCTGCGGCTGGCCAACAACATCTACATCAACGAAAATCTGGAGTTCAAGAACTCTTTTCGTGATGTGGCTCAACGTCAGTTCGACTCGAACATTGAGAAGCTCGACTTTCATCCGCCGTACAACAAGCGCACTGCGGCCAGCATTAATCAGGCTGTGGCGACCAAGACAAATAATCAGATTAAGGACATACTGAGGGCGGAGCTGCTCAACGATCGCACCGAGGGAGTCATTGTAAATGGCGTCACGTTCTCCGCGCCCTGGCAGAAGGCCTTCAAGCTGGAAAAGACAAAGAGTCGCAGCTTCCGCACGGGCGATGGCCAAAACGTCAATGTGGAGACCATGTGGACCTTGCAGAACCTGAACTATGCCGAGATTAGCAGCCTGGATGCGAAGGTCCTGGAGCTGCCCTATCAAAATCAGGAGTTCTCAATGATATTGCTGCTGCCCAATCGCAAGGACGGTCTACGTGCCCTCCAGCAGAGCCTGGTGGGCAAGAATCTGCTCAACGAACTGGGCTCGATGAGCATGCAGAAAGTGGAGGTGGAGCTGCCCAAGTTCAGTGTCACCTTCGGCCTTAGCCTGGAGAAACCGTTCAAGCAGGTGCGAAAGCAGTTGAAGTAGTAACAGAAATTCTTAGTCTCTATTAATCTATTAATCTGTTTTCCAGCTGGGCGTTACGACCATGTTCTCCCGCGAGGGAGACTTTGGTAATATGTACCGCATGTTCGTGAGCCACTTCATCAACAACGTCGAGCACAAGGCCCATGTAGAGGTCTCTGAGGCAGGCGTCGAGCAGCCTCTGGAGACGGGTGGTAAGCTATATCTGGCTGTATTTCTCTTGAATTATAAATACGTTATCTTTCTCTCTCTCTATCTCTTTCCTTTAGTTTTGAAGGGCTTGTTCTCGCGCTCGAAGAAATTTGAGGCGGATCATCCATTCGCCTTTGCCATCAAATACAAAGATTCGATTGTCTTCATGGGACACATTGCTAATTATGCCTATGTCTGAGCTCAAATTTTACCCTCCAGCTAAGTTGAGGTGCTAAATTAACTATCAAATTTATTTGTTTTCTCTTCTTTATTTTTATGTTTTTAGTTAATGAAAGCAAATTTGATTAGCAATCAAATTAAAACGAATAAATTTTGAATGTCGCAAGCATAAAACAAATCGTAAATTTATTATTTATTGTGAGTAGCTGAGAACAGTTAGGCGATTGCAATAAATTTCTAACTTAATGGTTATTATTAAAAGAGAGCAACATGTTTTTATCCCTCTCACTGTCTTAGTCGATTTTGTATGCTAGACACAGATAAGCTAAAACAAAAGAGTTCTGGCTATAGGGTAAAGGCTTTCTGAATATTCCATTTAACATAATATTGAATTACAGGGTATGCACTAGTCAGCCGCTTTCTGTATATATATAAAAGGTCTACTGTGCTTATTAATATTATAAATTTCAAGTTTAGCTCTTTCTAATCAAAAAATTCGATTGGAATTCAGCTTATTTTAAGAGTCTTAAAAACAATAGAGCAGAATGATCAAAAATTGAGATAAGATCAAAAATATTAAATAACCTAAGCAGCTATACGAAATTGGTAACAAAATTTAAATCGAAATACAAAATGCAGGTAAATAAAATCATGTTTTAATTATCAGCATGCGAGATCTATTTTTTGGACTCACCTTTCGAGCTCCAAATGCATTTGATTTGTGGTATCCATAATAAAATCCTTGCTGAGACGCTTATCGGCTTTGTTGTTTCGCTTGATTTGCATTCACAAATTTATATAAAACACAAACACACTCACTGATGTATATCGACATACACATGTATGTAGGTATTTGTGCACACACATAAATTAGGATTTCAACATATTTCTTATTAATTTGCCAACAAAAAAGGCGCTGAAGGTGACTTGAGGTGTAGCCAGGCGCAGGCGCAGCCTTTTATTTATTTTTATCTTTACTCTTTACTCTTTATTCTCTACTCTTTATTATTATTGTTGCTATAATTTATTGGATTTTCTGTCGCGTTTTCCTAATCACACATAAATCAAGCAAATTCTGGTTTATTTATTTCTTTTGGACTTCTTTGTCGCTGTTGTTGTTGTTGTTGTTGCTGACAGCATCTAGTACAAATCTTTATGTGCAGTTAATTTGGTTCAATGGCTGGCTGCCTGGCAACTGGAAACTGGTTGGCATTACACTCGATATTTGGTATTTGGAAAAGCTCAATGAGAGTTGGCCAAGTGGGAAATTTAACGCGTCACATTGATTGCTGCATTTTTTGTTGCCACTGCGCTTCATTTGATGCGAAATTGTCGCACTGTGGGGCGAATCGTGCAGATATTTTGAGAGCATTTAAAATAATTGATGCGCGTTTTCCACTTTTACTTCTGCTGCACACTGACACTCACACAAGCGCACGCATTCACACACTCAAGCCGAAGGAGACGGGAAAACTGGTCAACTATTTCTTCTTATTTATTTTGCGCATGCAGCGCTTAATGCCTGACAGCCTGGACGGCTGGAAGGCTGCCGTTTGTTCCCTCTTTCTACTCTTTTTTTTTTCTTTTCTTTTTTGTAGGTAGCCTGAGCCAACAAAAACAAACAAGCTACCGATTCTGACGGCCAGATAAGCCCAGCGCACACACGCGTGGGCGGCAAAGGTGGGCCAAGGAGCAGGGGGCGGGTAGCGCGGCGCGGGCAGCTGCACACTGCAGTTTCTTATTCGCGCAAACTAAACACGCACAACAACAAAAGACGTGAAATTGAGCAAGACGCGTTCAGAGCAGCGCATGCCGAAGTACGTCTGTCTCGCTTGACACCAATACACAGACTGCGCGATCCTCGGGCTCGCACAATTGTGCACCTTACGAGCGCACAAGGCCCGAACGCTCTCTCTCCCCCATACACTCATACTCATAGTCTCTTCTGGCTCCAACTTCAAATGCAACTTCAACTGTTGCGTCGGCTGGCGCTCTCACACACGAAGACTTTTTCACACGCCGACTCTCTCTCTTCCTCTCTCTCAAGTATTGACGATCGCTCGCTTGAGTAAGAATACTGGTTATTAAAATACTGGGCACGCTTGCGCTGCCGCTATTGCTGGCGCTGCGTCTGCTCCATGTAATTGTTGTTGTAATTGTAATTCTTATAGCGCCCCCTCGCTTCAGCGCTTCATCGCTTGTGGCCAGCAGCTGCTGCTGCAGCAGTGCGAGCAGCGGCGTCTGTCTTCCCTACACTCTTCCTTGTCTCTCGGCTCTCCTGCTGCTGTCCCTTTGTTAGATTTGTTTGTACTGCTTGACAAGTTTTTCTTTGTTTCATGTTGGCTTTGCGACTGGAATTTCAAGTGGGCACAGTCCAGCACCCTATTCCTCTATCTATACCTATCCCCCGCTCCCGCCGTCCTCTTGCCTCATCAACCAGCGCAGCAGGTGCAGCTGCAGGCGCAGGCTAAGGCGCTTTTAAAACAAATGCCACAAATGTCTGAAGAGCTCCCTCTCCCCATTATCTGATCGATCTGATCTTGCAGGGGCAACACGGCCTATGCCAACTGCTAAGCTTGGCGCATTTCAATGCCCTTTAACCATTTGGCATGCACTTTGCAACACTGAAAATGAAAAGAAAATATATGTATTATATGTTATCAAATAATACTTTTTTTATATTAAATATTTTTTAGCAAAGATATTTATTATTATTATATTGTATAATTTTTTAGTGTTAATAAAAATACTTTTTTAGTTTCTATAGTTTTTTTTTTACATATTTCAAATTTTATATACACAATTGTATGATGTGCGGTTAAGCTGAGATCAAAATAATATCTATATATATTATATATATTTTTTAACTATAATACCAAAATGTCTAGAGATATATATTTTAACCTTTTCAACTCTACACCCCGCTTTTTCTGAGTGTCTGAATTCACAATGAGTTCTTAATTCCTGAACATATTTCGGAATAAATTGAATGTTTTAAATATGTTGTATGCATAATATAAAAGAGAGCACATAATTCTTATGGCTTTCCTTAATTTCTTCTTATCTTTTCATTTATTTCGTTCGTTTTATTTATTTTTACCTTTGTGTTGTGCGTTGCTTTTTGGGTCACACGTAAAGTGGACGAGGCATATTTAAAAACCCAAAATTATGGCTGTTTGTTTATATTTTTAGCATGTCGAAACGTGTGTAAAAAGCCCAATAACTATCCGAGGCCTTTTCAATAACGCCCAACCAAGCGGGGCTAATCAATTCTATTAAGCAATTAAGCACGGTTTAGCTAAGTGGAATGGATTTCTAATGGAAGTTTCTATAGATCAAGAACATTTCAAAGATGAAGATCATTTTGTTGCTACTCTCCACATTAGCTCCCCTTAGTTTAGGTGGGTACGACTTGCATATAACATATTATATTGTATGCTAATGTAGATTTTGATTATCTCTTTGTAGCTCTAAATTTGTATATACGCAGCAAATGTATCTCCACCCTGCCCTCTTTAGAAGTTTGCGCCTATCAGGGCTGTTTTTTAAATATTGACCAAAGGGATATCGAATTCATTAACTGTGAACGCAATCTAAGAGGAAGACCACGTAGGTTATCAATTGAAATGACCCAATCGATCTCATTAAAGTCCATTTTCGTAACTCTATTTCAGCCCTGGACTTTTACTCGGAGGGTAAGTGCGGTCCGCAGTTGGTGCCCAAATGCGAAACTTTTGATTTCTAAATAAAACGTTTGAGCTGAAACCGACTGTGAAATTTATTCAAGATGATGAATGCTTAAATAATGAAATGACATAAAATAATATTGCTTGAAAAATGTCTTATAAAACGACTTTAGAATTTGACAATGTGTCCGGTGAAGTAAACCGCGTGCTGATCGCGTATGAGGAACACAAATGGATGATCGGCCACAAAGGTCTTGGGATCCAGCGGCAAGGACATGGGCACACCAGCAGCATCTAGATGGGAGAAAGATTGTTAGGATCAGCTTAAGAGTTATAAGGGCAGTTGGGAAGGTGGCACGTACAGCTAACTCCAGCAGCCTCGCAGCCGATCTCATTGACATCGATGAAAGTCTTGTGCTGCACCTGGGTGATGCGGGTGCCAATGGGCGACTCATCGAAGATGTTGCTAAAGTCGGCCGCATCCGAGAACATGGCTTTGATGCCCATCTATGGACGGCATTAAATATTTATATATGTGTACCGTGACGAGGCTTTTCTTAATGATAACAAACCTTGAACAGAGTGGGCTTCAGGTCGGTGTCAAACTCAAACTTGAACTTGGGCAAGTAGACAGAGACACTCTGCCATTGCCAGCGATCCTCGAGCAGCTTAAAGTCGACGCCCTTCAGCTGCTGCTCCAGCTGTTGCAGACCCGTGCGCTTGTTGGGCAATATGAACCACATGGTCATATTGATGTTCTCGAAGAACAATTCAATCGCCTTGGCGTCGAGCTCGGGATAGTCGGCATAGTAATACCAGTTGTCGGCAAACATGGTGGGCACCTGAATGGAGCGCTCCTCGCTCAGCCAGAAGGCGCGATCCTTGGTGTCCTCGTCGTTGAAAGGACGCGCCCAGCGTGCCTTGAAGTAAATGGCATTGATCAGTGCCACATTGGTGTCCGGCTCCAGTGCCTCCACGACATGCTCAATCTTGCCTTGAGTCTTCTCCTTGACCCAATCATTGATGCGCTTCAGTGCCTCGTCTTCGTTGTCGAAATTCAGACCCTCAACACCAGAGTCGAAATACTTCTCGGCTACCTCACGGAAGTGTGGAGTCACCTTCAGCTTCTCGCGTGTGTAAACTTTGTTGGCGATCTCCAGCACCGTCTTGGACTTGATGTACGAGTGCAGCAGGCGATGGTAGCTCTCGGCGAGGCCATCTTTGCTCTCCTTGGCGGAGACGTGCAGCGTGCGCTGCAGCTCCGCTGCAGTGCGGCCCTCGGCGCCGTAGTAGGCCAGGCCCAGAGCCAGCTGGATGGACACGGGCGAGATTACGACATTCTCATCCTGGCGATCGGTGGCCAAGGTCTGGAACAGTTCGGTGGCAAACAAGTTGCGCTCTTTGATGGTATTCGCTGCAGCCAGCAGCGGCAGCAGCAGCAGCACTACTGCAAGACAACAACAAACAACAACAATTCGAATCGATTCAATCAAGGCCTGACCGTATGCTGGGACAACAACAACTTACAGTGGTTCATTGCGCTTGCGTGGACAACTCAAGACTAAAAGTGAAATGGCCATAGAAGCTGTCATTTATACCTGCGCCAGGAATCAGAATCACCCAGAATAAAGCAAAGCAGCGACGCCAGCAGCGCTGCTGGCTGCGACAGCGACAGTGACAGCGACAGCGACGTATGTGCTGCGCATGCCAAGCAGCCAAAGCAAACAACAAAAGATAAAGCATGAGACAACAAGAACAAAAAGAAAGGTAGGTGGCGCAGGAATAACTGCTTCTTCTGGTGGCTTCTGGACGGTCAGAAATACTGGGAACAGATCGCACCCGCTCTCACACACACTCTCGCAGTCCCTCTCTCTCTCTCTCTCTCTCACTCTCTCTGTCTAGTTGAGAGTGCGCGCCCACTTTACACTTGTTGCCCTTTTCTTTTGTTTGCTTTGGGCTATTTTTTTTTTTTTGCGAGCGGATAAACGCGCTTACCGCTTCAGCTCGGCTGTCAAATTAAAGCGCGCGCGTTCACAGTGCCTGCTAAAGGTGCATTAACTTGAAAATGCATGTTTTATGCGTTGCATTCAAATTGTTTATTTTCGTATTTGTTTAGATAATGCGAACATAAACAAAACGCAGCTAAACCAAACAGTGCATTGCGTAAATTGTTTATCGACTAATGTACCAACGCACACACACACACACTCACACACACACACAGGCACATGTGAAGGCATGCTTAACAGCGTTCCAATTAAACGCAACACGCACACATAAAATTTATGCGTGCAAGTGGAGAAGGCAACTGACTCGGCGCTCTTGGCCTGGCCTTATCCAATTTTTTATCATTAAAAGGGGAGCCACTGCTGCTGTTGTTCTTGCAATCCGTTTTTCTCTGCTTTTTTTCTTTTTTGGGGCAGGTATCAAAGTACCGAAATTCGTTATTTATGCACAGTTTGTGTGAAATGCTAATAAATTTTAATGGAATTTTAAAAACATGCTTTATGGCCGAGCTGAAGGAGGTGCATAAATACACATATGAAGGCAAAAAGGCGAACGATTTATGAGAGTTTAACTCAAGTTTAAGCAAAAGGCTGTTCGGAATTGTATTTATGATTAAGTATCGTAAAATTTGATTTCTTTTCGACTACTGTTTGCGATAGTTTATTAATCGTGGCTGAGCGTAAAAAAGAAAACGATAAAACACTTTCAGCTAAAGAGTTGTTCAAGCAGCTTTTGACTTAGACTTATATAGATGGGTGTGCGTGTGTGTGTGTGTGTGTGCGTCCTGGCAACGACCGAAGCTGCCAAAGCTGCTGACCGTTCTGATTGAATGATTTCACTGATCGAGACAAAACATGTTAAAGATCGTGATGTTGTTGTTGTTATTGTTGTTGGTCCAGCTAAGGAGTCTGTTGTTGTCTTTATAGATACACAGCACGGCAGCCAGGCAAGAGCAACAAAAAAAAAAAAAAGGAATGCCGATAAAAAAGCGTCTTGGGGCTTGGACAGCAAAGCCTGATGCGCGGCAGGTCGACAGGCGACAGGCGTCAGGCAACGAACAAGAGGGCGGTGCATTGGCTGCATGCAACGGCAGCAAAATGCTGCTGATAAAAATAACTTGCCACAAACAAAAAACAAAAATGGAGAAGCAGCAGCAGAAACAACGCTCTTTTGAGCCGTGCGGAAAAGCACAAGAATGATGAGCCAGCAATAACAACAACAACAACAGCAATAACAACAACAGCAACAACAACAACAGCAATAAGTAAAAGAAGAAGAAACAGCCGCAGCTGAAGAGCAACACGAATTATGTGATCGGTGCAGCATCTCTCTCGCTGTGTGGGTTTCGTATCTCCAGCTCTGCGTGCACGTAACCCAAAACCAGTTGATGATAGAGCAAAAAACTAAGAACAACAGCAAGCATGAAAGAGAAAGAATCCGCAAAGAGCAGCCAAAGTGAAAGAGCTGGAGACAGTAAAAGAAAAAACAATGACTGCTCGCAAAAAAACAAGCTGAAGAAAACCCTTTCTTGTTCTAAGCATAAACAATAAAAATGTTCACATAACTTTGTACAAAATAATTGCAATTTGCATAGCAACAAGTACAAACAGAGCGCAGTAAAGTGGTACCATGATCATCTCTTGAAGATCATCTGTTGCGTGCGCACTCAATGGGAACTGCTTTCAGCGGGGTACTTAGAAAGGTGAATTGTCCTACATAAACAGCGGGTCAGCTTTCCAGAGTACACACTATTGCAGATCGCACAGCGATAGCCTTGAGAAAGTATGAAGAAGATCCACATTATTTTTGTAGATGTCAACTGCGATTGTAAAATATGAGAAAATTGGCATGACGCCAAAATTGAGCTTGAGTACAAAGAGTTGACGAATGATTAAAATAGATAATTGGCTTAAAAGAAAAAAAATATCTACTACTTTGTAAACATTTTTTTTAGAAAATTTTTAACTTAAATTTAATAAGTCACTTGATATCTAATTTTAAAATAAAAAAAAAAAAAAAATAAGATAATATTTTTATTAAGCACGAAAATTGGAATATTTCATCCGTCATCTCTCTTATCTCTCACCTCATATACAGGGTGGAGCAAAATTGGTGAGCGAAAATCTTATTTGAGCTATATTTTATGCTTTCGCTAATTACAATTTTCACTGCACTTCACACACACACACACAAGCAAAATCAAAGCTATATATATTGTAATGATTGTATTTTATTACACAAACTGTTCCACAAGTCTTACTGATTGTCGATAATTGGCTTAGCTGGCGTTATCATACTATTATGCCAATTAGAGACTTGGCTATAGCTAAGAAATTTATATGCATATTGCTGCAATTTATTTAAAGACAACTTTCTTAGAGCTTGTTATACAAGCTCTCAATAATTAGCCAATTGCCAATGGATGTGCGGCAATCTAATCGACAGTTTGGCCAGGCAGTTGGGCAGTGAAAACGAGCCGAACTTTCATTCAGTTTCAACAGCAATATTGACAGCAGCTACAACAACAACAACAACTGATTGCAGTAAATGTAGTTTATGCAAAACAAAAAAGGAACAACAAACAACAAACAAAAACTTGCCACGCTTCATGGCTGGGCGAGAAACACGAAAACCGAGACAAACACTCAGCCACTTGACCAGAGCTAGAGTGGATGCTGACAAGCGCAAACAGCCAACAACCAACAAGCAACAACCAACGAGCAACAACCAATAACAACAACAACTACACGACAACGCGGATGACACAAACGACACGTCAATCTAGCCGCTGCCCACATGTGGCATGCAACATTGAAACAGGATTTTCCAATTCGAGATGTTGCTGCGACAAATTAAGCTGGAAAAATGCAAGTACAACTGCAACAACAACAACAACAACAACAACAACAGCAACTGCCTTGATGCGTCTCTAGAACTTGTCGCAGTTCTCATTAATTAGCACTAAAATGAGTGAGATCGAGAAACCCTTAAACAGGATCTCTTTGCTGAGCCTTTCAGTTTCTACGAAATCGCCGACATCTTCGCTTCTGCTTCTTCATCACTTTTGGCATCAAATAAGGCGCAGCAGCATGTTGTCTAGGCCCGCTGGGACAGACATGACAGACAGACGCCCAGACGCTTGTCAATTGATACAGCTGCTGCGATCTACATGCCAAGTGGGCGCAACTATCGATCGACGCATCGAGCTAGACACGCTTCCCAATACAATTCAAGCGTATATACTGCCCAAAGCGAATCAATTTGATTGGCTTTTTGGCAAAGAACTCGTACAGCAAAGCATTACGATTTGTCTTTGAATTGATCAAAGCGATAACTTATGCACTGAGAGGTTAAATGTCTATGAAAAATATATTTAACAATATCTCTTTAGATTTAAAAAAAATATAAGTTTATTATATTTTCTGACTCTTGGTATACTTTGTATGTTATTTTTATTTTTTTGTTATTAAAATATTAGAACTTAGTATTTCTCCAAGTGTAACATCGTTTGATTAATGTCACAACGCACACGCACACAGACACACCACTAAACTGTCCATCATAAAATGTCAATTAGCTGATTGAAATCAGCGTCAAGCGCTATTATTTCAATTTATGGCCAATGGAAAAGTTTCGCAGCCAGAACCGTGAGCTGTGGTAGCAGCAAAAAACAATATATATATAAAGGAATAGCAAGAGCCATGAGAAGATCAAGATGCTGTTGCTCCTGCTGCTGCTGCTGCTGCGCCTACTTTCTGCTGTGGTTTATGTAACGATCAGCCTTTCTTAAAACGTCTCCCGCTTTGCATTGCAAATGGAATCGTTTGCCCGGGCGCAGCAACAATGGCACACGCGATCAGCTGAACTGCGGGCTGCCAGGCCTGAGCCAATGATGCTGTTTGCTGCCGTGAGGCCACCCGCTCTCTCTTTTTCTCTTACCCTCTTGCAGCATCTGCCTAGAATTGCCTTGCTGCGTATGCTAATTTTCATGTCACAACATTGATCAGCAAGAGAAAGAGTGAAAGAGAGAGACACAAAGAGACGGAAGTTGGGCTTTCAATTGAATTGTTTAAATGCGCTTAAAAGTAGGCAACACTTTTTATGGCGGCCGCACTTATTGTTTAAGAAGGAGCGCATAAAAGTAGGTAATACTTTTCAAGACAAAGCGTTTCTTAAGTGCGCTCAAAAGTATGCAACAGAACATATTAAGCTAAGAATAGCTAGGGTAATATTAAATTCGCTCTAGGTAATTTTAGGTATTTCTGCATATTATATTGTAATTTCAATTCAAAATATATAAGTCATCCAAATGCCATCATTTGGCAGTTTAAGGCAACTATTCTCATATCTCTGGCTGCTCTTGATTAGCTTGTCCGCATATGGAAAGTGCTATCGAAACTAATTTCAAACCAACCAGCCGACAGCGAATGCCCAGGATTAAAGCAACAACTGCAGCTGGTTCTGCCTTTATCCTGTCGCATGTCCTGCAGCAGCGAGACAGGCAATTTGTCAAGCGCTCAACCTACGCCTAAAATTGAACTGTCAATTCCAATTTTTTTCAACACTCGCCGCTAAATTTATTTATGTATGCCAATAGGCAGAGCTTTGGAC